AATTCTTCCATTTGCGCATAGCTACCCCCAGTAAACATTGTTCCAGCAACGGCACTACGGTTTACGTCCATTTCTTCAATTTTGTCGGGTTGACTGTGAATTTCCCCTTCATAGTGAGGGAACATACGTTGAGGGTAGTCTTCAAGCCTGACTGTTGCATGCCAGTTATCTGCAAGTATTTTATCCCGCAGTCTTCTCTATTATCGGCATGATGGCTCATTTTCTTCATCTCTTCAAACATGTGCTGCATGTTTACGATGTTTAATCCGTTTGAAAAAGACGGCGTTTCTTCTGGCCGGGTTGAAGTTACTTCTTCTACGGTCCAGGTACCGTTTTCGCCATTTGAGGTGTGTGCTGATATCGTATCTTCTGAAGTTTCTTCATTTTGTGCTATTGGTACTGCCTCGCATGTTGAAAACATGGAGGCCCTTCCGTCGGATGTTGACGGCTGATTTCCGTACTCCTCAGCAAGTCCTGTATTGCTTGTGGGAACATCTGAACCACATCGCCCTTTATGAAGTCTTCTTTTCTTGGAGTACCTCTTCGTTGAGGAGTATAATTTTCTTCTTATATTCGGTGCACTCACTTTTATTTCACTCACTTCACTTTCGAAAAAAAAAAAAAAAAATAAATATACTAAAAGAAATACTAATAAACTAAATAAAATTAATACTAGAAAAAAAAGTAAATAACTAAATAATTTAAAAACTAAATCACTCTACTTAAACAAATGTGAAATACTACTTTATACGTAGACGTAATGCAAAAAATTCCGATACGTTGCATTCGGATGTTGCAGAACGTAATGTGATGTAATATTCGTAGCCATATTGAGAGTCGGTGGTGGAAATGAGTGACGTGGGTGAAACGAGGGACAAGTGGTGGGAGTGAGTGACGTGAGTGAAACGAGGGACAGTGGTGGAAGTAAGGGACAGTGGTGGGGTGCATAGCTTCGAACCCCGGCATCGATCGACGATCCAGCAATTGAAAAATGACCATGGACAAAATGACAAGTGTGCAGAAAGGAATTGAAGAAGTAAGTAGTTTGCGTATAATGTCACGCGTACGGTGTCTTGCCAGTGTCAATTACAAATTTACAATATGTAAATTTTTTATTTCTAGATGGACATAGTTACAAATGAAGAACAGCAGGAAGATAAAAAACAGGAGGAAAAAGTGGAGGAGCCAAAAACAGATACTGTAAAAGAAGAGCCATCCCCACGTGCCCCAGCAATGTCTGGAAGAAAAGTAAGTAATGTGTTTCACATTTATTTATTCCGATTTATTTCCCTACGGTAAATTATGTATTTACAAAAAAATTATTATAACTAGCCCGGAATCCGAACTCCTCAATCGTTTCGTGTTCGCGACGATATACTGCTTTTAATTCATTATGGATATTATTTACATCAAAACTTTGAGCAAACGCGGATTTTATCAACGAAATTAATTCTTCGACAGTCTTTAAAAATTAATTTTTTAATATATGTATAAAAAATATATACATATAAAATATTTTACATTTTCATTTTTCTGTTTCAGATGCGTAAAATATTAAAACGCTTATTACGATATTCGGCATGGGGAAGAGCCGCCACAGGCTTCCGCGGAAGAGGAGGTTTCCGCGGAAGAGGAGGTAACCGCGGAAGAGGAGGTAACCGCGAAAGTGGAGGTAACCGCGGAAGTGGAGGCAACCGCGGAAGTAGAGGCAACCGCGGAAGAAGTGGAATAACTATATCAGGATGTACAATATACGGCGGTATAAAAAATTGAAAATAAAAAGTAAAATAAATATTAGTAAATGATGTACTGTTTCCTTTAGATGTACTGTTTCTTTTGCGGACCTCATCCCCTTTCGATCGCGATATTCATTTTGTGCCAATTGTTAACAATGTTAATGCCTTCCTAACTTTTTTATTTTTAATTACGTAGACGTAGACAAGTTTCGTTGAATTTTCAATTTAATTAAATTAGCAAAAATAAATATCTGTATTGAAAAGTCGATAATCGAATTCCTGCGTCGATCAATTACTTCTGAGATACCGCTCAATTTCGATCAGACTCTCCTGTGTTACAAAAAAATAAAATCTATACTTTTCTTCGTTATTGTTTTTCTGGTTTAAAATTTTTCACACGTACAAAAATATATTGCGTTATTAAGATATTCATAAATCAGGTTTAATTAAAATATTTTAAAGAGATCCTTCCAAATCGTTTCATTCAAATAATAAATTTATTAAATTCTTTTCAAAGTTACTGTGTCTCAGTTTCATTTTAAATATTATTACCTCTATATATCCCATCAAGTATTACCTGACAGTTTTATCGGAAAACCCTTTGAATTGTATATTAATATTATTGCAAAAGATGGAAAAAAATCAAGTTCAGCGGGACTCAAAGCTGCGGCCGAAATAGATGTACAGATCACAAGGCAGGGCACCTAACCTTTTCGCTAATCCTTCCGTTGAAGTAATTTCTTATGTTTCGGAATTTAAATATTGATGTTGTAACGAGGCATATTTTCATTTGGTTGATTACCTTCTTTTTTTTGGTTATGCCTCGTTACGATGATCCCCCCGAATTGCCAGCCCCACTCCTCCGCCCAAGCGGACCACCTCGC